ATCTGTATTGTTAAAAGCGCTATATAAATAAAGGTGACTTGACTTGACTTGACTTAATTTGCCCCACATGTGTTCCCTCGTTACCCTCCTCATTTGCTCTCTATTTATTGTCCTTGTGTTTGCAGTCCTGAGCCAGTTCGTCATCGAATGTTTCCTGTCGTGTGCCTTGTCCTGCCATCCAGTCAAGTTGCCAGCTGTTTTTTCCCCTATGGGGTAGTTTTTGTTTGTTTTGTTTCTGCCTTTAATAAAGCCCTTATCTTCCTGCAATATTGAGTCCTCGCTCCATTCTTCATCCCTAACCCTGACACCAGGGTCACATATAGTGTTTGACTTCACCCCACCCACTGTTACAACTCATGTAAAAACAGCACCTTCTGTGCTTGCCATTAATTTACACAGTGGGAAAATTATATCAATGTTTGAGATAAATATTACAAAAACAAAACAGAAAAAACAGACTACAGAGTTATGGATGTTAAAACAAAAAGTGATACTACCATCCCGTCTCCCCTATGTAATGCCCACCTGTCAAGATCCAGTCAATTTCTGATTGATAGATTCAAGTTCCACCCTATTTTTATTTCTTATTAATGTTCAGATTAACTTGAAAATGTCACATTACAAAAGTAAAATAGGTTGTGAACAGTGTTTTATGTTGACTTTAAGTTAACTTTCCACTTTAAAGCACAGCACTGATTAGAAATTCCTTGACTGAATTACTTAAGAGTAAAATCTTTACTAAAAAAATAAAATATATTTATTTAAATATGATTTATAGTGCTATTATAGTGCTAAGGTGGAGTGCTATCTTGAGGACTGCTCTGTCAGCAAAGAGGAATAATGATTTTTACCCTTAGGACACAGACGTGTTTTTTATTTATTTATTTATTTTTTTACAGTGAATGCAAATGTCCGTATATGTTAACTAGTTTAATTAATGTTTTCCCTCAACAAGAGCCACAATTTTCTAACATTGTTTTTTTCACAATCATAATTCTCACAATTCCTTTCTGTGAAGATGTGCTTTTTAGTGTACAAAATGTCATAAACTTTCATTTTTGTAGTATCATTGAATCATTTTTCAAGGTTTTATCATGTTGGCCACTGTAAATGTCGTACTGCACCATTACTCATGAAATATAATTTAAGAGTGTGATTAAGAGTATAAATCACATACAGCCAGGCCCGGATTGGCTAATCGGGAGCACCGGGAGAATTCCCGGTGGGCCGGTGTTACGAGATTTTCGGTTTCCGAGATTTTTGGTTTCAGTGGGCGGAGCAGACATGAATATTCATGAGTTTCCCGGACATGCGTGTGGAACCAGGTGGAACTGAGAATTTCAATTCACGCTCCTTGTATCTCGGCAGGTTTAATGGAATATATATATATAAAAGGTAAACATATTTACAGCGTTGCACAAACCTATGCCTAAACTACATTTGTTCATCATTTTGCAACAGTTTATAATGTTTTTATTAGTCTGCACGTTTTGTGCAGTCGGCACTGACTGAATGATTGCAGACATTCAGCACACTTAATCTAGTTGTATACATTACTTTGATTTCAGTTCGTTTTGCTGTAGCTTGCAATGCTCTAAAACTATGTCTGTTGTTAGTTGTTATCATTTGAGTACAACAGCTGAAATAAACTTGTATTTGTGGACTAATCGTTTTTCATCAATGCTGGTGATTGTTCTTAAACTGTTAGGCTTAGGCTATATTTACAAAATGAATAGGAATCTAAAACCACACACACAAGCATGGAAGTGTTCCTGTAATAAGTACAATTTTGGATTAAACAAAATTGTATGGACAAAAGTTTAAAAGTAGCCTACATTTGGTACACTGTAAATGAGAAAACAAATACTTCACTGCATTTTACGGAATGGAATAAGCATTCTTAAACTTGGACCTCAGTATATTTTTGAAGTACAAATCCAAGCACCAGAAGTAGGCCGCACTCTCTAAGTTTTCTTTAATTGAAAAATATGCATTTTCATTCATTCATAGGCTATAGCCTATATGGTTGCAATAATATTTTAGTAAAAAAATGTAAGTGTCATTGTTTAAAAAAAAATGCTTTATTGACTGACGTTTCATAGACCTTCAGTTGTTATTCTTTCAAATTTCATGCAATTGTATGTAATTTCACAGTATTTTCAATTGATAAATTAGTAGGCCTACACTACTTGTGCAGTCACAATTCTTTAATGGTACTATTTACTCAGGCCGATGAC